ATTTTTGCTTTTTGGGTCACACCTGGTGATGCACAGGGGTTACTCCTGGCTCTGCACTCAGGAGTTACTCCTGGCGGTGCTCAGGGGACCATATGGGAAGCTGGGAATCGAACCCGGGTCAGCCGCGTGCAAGGCAAATGCCCTACCCGCTGTGCTATCTCTCCAGCCCCGCAAGATTTCATTTAAAGGCATGAACTGCACACACAAAGTTCCAGAGAGTGGTGCAGCAGGATCACGGCAGGGAGTCTGTGATGCTAGGACTGAATGGGACCACCCCTGGTGATGTGAAGGGCTGACTCCTGGCTCAGCCCTCAGGAGGACCAAAAGAGGTGCCAGGGACTGAACCTGGGCTGGCCACATGCAAGCCATGCGCCCCCTCCTGCTGCGCTATCTCTGGGCGTTGTTTTGATGGGGCGGGTGCCACTGGCATCAGGCGGGCTGATGACAGATGAGCCGAACACTCTGTCCTGCAGAGCAACGCCACCCCCGAGAGTTACCCCACCCAGAGTCCGAGCCACAGGACAGCAGTCAGGCAATCACCTTAATCCTCAGATGGTCCTGACACTGCTCACTGTGGCCCCTAAACAAACAAAACCCCCAAATCTATTCATTCAAATAGTCAAGAGTCAAGGCAAATAAGCCCTGAACCACATGGGGAGCTCTGACTTGGGGTCACCAGCTGGGGATATGCCTAGAAGTTTCCAGAGGCGGGACCCTCTGGACAATGCAGTAGTCTTGTGTCCTCCTCCCACACTTTGTCACCAGTAACACTGCAGTCGCGCATCCTTGCTCTGACCCGAAGCTACCAACTCAGAATCTCACCTTCCTGCACAGCACTCGGAGGAGCTGAGCAAACTGAGTACTGGAGAAAGACAGTGAGTCTGGGGACGTCGCAGATGCCCTGGTCCGGAAAGCCCTGCACCCCATGAGTCCAGCTTCCTCCAGCAGAGGGTATGGCCTACGGCTGGTCCTTGAGTTGGAATGTGAAAGTTCTCTGTGTTTGTATATGGACGATTCTCAAAAAATTAGAAATTGAGCTCCCATTTGACCCAGCAATACCACTCCTGGGAATATACCCCAGAGAGGCAAAAATGTATAGTCGAAGTGACATCTGCACTTGTTTGTTCATTGCAGCACTCTTTACAGTAGCCAGAAACTGGAAGAAACCTGAGTGCCCAAGAACAGATGACTGGTTAAAGAAACTTTGGTACATCTACACGATGGAGCACTATGTAGCGGTTAGAAAAGAGAAGTCATTAAATTTACATACAAGTGGTTCAATATGGAAAGTATCATGCTAAGCGAAATGAGTCAGAAAGAGAGGGAGAGACTTAGAAAGATCGCATTCATCTGGGGAACATAAAGAAACAAAATAGGAAACTACCACCCAAGAGTGGCCGAGATTAGTACCAGAAATTTTCCTCCATGGCTTGGAGGCCAGCCACACATGCTAGGGGAAAAGGCAGCTCAGATAGAGAAGGGAGCACCAAATAAAGGGTGTTAGGAGGGGCTGGAACGATAGTACAGCAGGTAGGGTGTTTGCCTTGCACGCGGCCAACCCGGTTCGACTCCCAGCTTCCCATATGGTCCCCTGAGCACCACCACCGCCAGGAGTAATTCCTGAGTGCATGAGCCAGGAGTAACCCTGTACATCGCCCTGTACAAGCAAAAAGCAAAAAAAAAAAAAAAAAATAGGGTGTTAGGATCCTCCCAGGATGGGAGAAGCATGCTGAAAGTAGACTATAGACCGAACACGATTGCCACTCAATGCCTCTTTTGCAAACCACAGCACCCAAAAGGAGAGAGAGAACAAAGGGGAATGCCCTGCCACAGAGGCAGGGTGGGATGAGGGGGATAAGGGGGTGGGAGGGGTACTGGGATCCGTGGTGGTGGAAAATGGGCACTGGTGGAGGGATGGGTACTTGATCATTGTATAATTGAAACCCAAGCACAAAAATGTGTAAGTCTACAGCTGTACCTCATGGTCTCACTAATAAAAATTAAAAAAAAAAGTTCTATGTGTTTGTCGGGGGGGGGGGGGGGCCGCTGAGGCCAGGGGCAGGAGAGGTGGGTGGGGGTGGGGAGGCGTCTTGGGGTCCCCTGCGAGAGTGGGGCTGAGGGTAGGGGGGTGGGGGTCCCTCTGCGGGGGTGGGGGTAAAAGGGGATTGTATGAGGTTTGCTTGGACCCAATGGCACCCAGCTGATGAGACAGCAACATTCCTGAACCAGGGATCACCAAGCCCTGGCACGGAAGACAGGACTGATGTCCCACCTGGGGCAGGAGACCTCCAGGCTGCATCCCTGCCTCCTCACCACCGACCCCTACAGATAAACGGGAGCCAGGCCAGGCACACCAGCCCACTAGTCTTAATTCCCTTTTCCTGCCCAAGAGGACTCAGAAATGCCCCCCCCCCCCCGTCTCTCCCTGGGTGCGGCTCGACCCCAGCCTCACCCGAGGTTCGTAGAGAGCGCACCCCAATAACTTCCCCTACATCCTTCGCTTTACTTGTCTCTGTGTGTGTCAGTTGAGGTCATGGATCTCTCAGATAGGGTGGCCGTTCTGGGGTCCCTCTGCACTGATGCGCCCCCTTCTGGCATTCACAGGAGCAATGGGGCTGTCCCGGGAATCTCCTGAGTCTGGGCATGAGCGAAGGAAAGACAGGGGTCCCGGCTCACCCCAGCGGACTCAAAGACCACCGGAGCCTGTTTCATTGGGCACATTCTGGGCACGTGGGGTTCTCACGGTGAGAGTGGGGGCTGCCTCTGGCCCTGACCTGCAAGCCCACCGCCCTCTGTCCTCTGTTTTCTCTTCTGCGGAATGGGCACCTCCGGGGTGGGGGTGGGGCTGCAATCCCCCAGGGAAGTTGTAGGAAGACACAGGGCTCTGTAAGGACCAGGTCCTGTCAGTCGGTGTTGGTGAGTAACGCTAATCATTATTCAATTCCAAATCCACCAGACTGGGCCTCACCGGGCTCTGGGCACATGCGGGTGAGCGACGGGCAAGACTTGGGAGACGGGGAGTTACGGCAGAGATGCTGCAATTCCCGAGGACACAAAATGGGGGAATGGGGCAGAAGGATGGATGGCTGAGGCGGAGTGGAAGATTCCTACGGCTCTGCGGTCTGCCCGCCTGCACTCGGAGGCAGATGGACAGGGTGGGGCCGTAGGAATAGAGACAAAACTGAGGCTGGTGCGGGTTTTTTTTTTTTTCTTTTTGGATCACACTTGGCAATGCACAGGGGTTACCTCCTGGCTTTGCACTCAGGAATTACTCCTGGTGGTGCTCAGGGGACCATATGGGATGCTGGGAATCGAACCTGGATCGGCTGCATGCAAGGCAAATGTCCTACCCGCTGTACTGTCACTCCAGCCCCCTGGTGGGTATTTTACACACACACACACACACACACACACACACACACACACACACACACGTTTGGGCCATACCTAGCCATGCTCAGGGCTTAGTCCTGGCTCTGCCATTGGAGGGACTCATGGACCACGTGAGGTGCCAGGGATTGAACCCTGACCGGCCACAAGCAAGGCAAAGCCTTACCCACTATCCCCTCCCCCTCCTGGGAGAGTGGTGGGTCTTTGTAGGCTCTGGATGGGCAGGGGAGGGGAGGCGCGAGTAGAAATCATTCGAGGCCTGCAGGAGGGGTGTTACATCTACTGCCAGCCTCCTGGGATGCTTGGGAACTGTGAGCTGTGTTTTCCTGTCAAGCGTCGCCCCAGACAGACAGAATCAAACAACGGCAAATCCTTGGTCTTGGGCTACAGAACTGGGATTACCAAGTGGTGGGCAAGGGGCGTGAGGGGTGGAAGAGGTGGACCCCAAATGGCTCAGGGACAGTAGGTGAGGGTGTGGTAACTACACTGAAATCACAAACATGGGGCCAGGGCACAGCAGGTAGAGTGCCTTGCACACAGTCAACTCGGGTTCGATTCCTTGGCATTCTATATGGTCTCCCAGTGCCAGGAGTAATTCCTGAGCGCAGAGCCAGGAGAGACCCCTGGCCCCAAAACCAAAAAATAAAATCATGACATTATAAAATCATAAACATTAACCTGACTTTAGCCATGTTACCTTGTCTATTGTAATTAAATGAAAAATGAGGAAGTGGGTTCCCCTAACACGATGCTGCTAGGAGGACGCGGTTTCAGTGGGAAACAGGGTTTGGGTAGCGGGACTTGGTTGAGGAGATCTGACAGGATTAGAGCAGCAGTCCATATGGTCCCCAAGCACCGCCAGGAGTAATTCCTGAGAGCAGAGCCAGGAGGAGTAACCCCTGAGTAGTGCTGGGTGTGACCCAAAAAGGAAAAAAAAGATTAGAGCAGCCAGTCCAAGTAAAGGGCTCCAGAGATAGACACAAGGCAAAAGGCCGTGAGCCTAGAGGCAAGACTGCAGGCTCCATCAGCCCCAGGCCGGATGCCACAGCCACCCAGCGCAGGGAGAGAGGAGAGAAGCCTGGAGCCTCCAGCAGCTCCCCCCGCCCCCCAACCATGAGACAGGAAGTTCCTGTGCTCTGAGACGCCCCCCCCCCCAGTGCTGGAGGAACAGGAAGCAGGTTCTGGGGGGTAGGGATGGGGGTGGGGCAGAGCGAGAGAGCACTGGCCGAGGGAGCATTAGTGTGAGACTAGCTCTGGAGGGAGGAGCAAGGTAGGGGGGACGGCACGTGTTTGGGGGGTGGCCATGCTTCCTGCCGGTCAGTCGTCCCCCTCCCCAGAGACCCCCGTTCGCTACCTGGCTGCTCTCGGAGGCGGGGAAAGATCGAGCTCGCAGCCTTGATCTTTTTCAAACCGCAAAGGATAATGACTCGGAACTCTATTTTCTTGGAGGTTTTTTGCAAATGGATTTTCCTTTGCCCAAGCATCTGCGCAACCGTGAAAGGGTGGAGATGCGGGTCCCTGAATGTCTCACCCAGGTCACCAGTGACACGACAGGGCTGCGGCCGAGAAGACAAACAGCCCTAATTAAAGCAGAAGGAGCCGGAGGTTACCTGGGTCAAGACGGTGCTGTAGTGCTGGGCGTCAGCTTCCCTCTCCTCACCTCTAGGGGACTGGATCTGGTTCTGCTGGATCAATTCTTCCAGTCTTAAAACCTAAAACAGAAAAGAGCCACTTGGCTATGACACCAAGGCCAACAGGAAGTCAGAGAACCCATTCTCTTGCATCGAGGGCTTCTGGGAAGGGTACCTCTTTTTTTTTTTTTTTTTTTCAATCTGGATGTTGGTGTTTGGGCCACACCTGGCTGTGCTCAGGGCTTACTCCTGACTGCACTCAGGGATCACTCCTGGCGGGGCTCTGGGGGCATAGCCGGGGATCAAACCAGGGTCAGTTGTAGGTAGGGCAGATGCCATGCCACTATCTCTTCAACCAGGCCCTGGGGACATTGCCGCGAGACAAATTCCAGACCTGCTTCCAAAAAGGCCACTTCTAATTAGCTTGGCTTTTCCAGAAGATGTGTGAGCCAGGTGTGCAGTTTTGTAACTTCCCCTGGGTTGAAAGTGTTCATTACTGACTATCGAAGGCTCCTCTGTGGGAGGTTTCTCTGTCTTTGTTTTGGTCTGGTTTTGCTTCTGGCTTTTGGGCCACACCCAGTGGTGCTCCTGGCTCTGCACATAGGGGTCGCTCCTGCCACTGCTGGGAGGACACAGGTGGTACTGGCAAGTGCCCACCCTCTGTCCTATCCCTCCAGTCCTGGTTTTGGTTTGGGGGCGACACCGGATGGTGCTCGGGGGGTGACTGTGCCCAGCTCTGCTCAGGATGGCTCCTGTGCCAGGGATGGTTCCTAGTTCTGCCAAGGGCTGAACCAGGTTTGCTGCATGCAGAGCATGGATCCTGCCCTGTGAGCTATGCTCTTTAGCTCCTGTGATGGTTTTCAAAAGTTAGTAGGTACAGAGGATGAAGAAGCTGCCGTGAGGAGACATAGGGTTTAGGGCCATTCTGAGAAAAAGTCAGGGATGGCCCAAGACTCTTCTTTCATAAGTATAACAGGGTGAGTCTCACACATTTATGGGATGTCTCCCCAAACTCTACAGAGCAGAATTGTCCAGAACTCTGGGGATTTTCACTGTGGACAGAAATAAGGAGGAAGAACAGAAGAAAAAGCAGAGAAGGAAGAAAGTGAGGGATGGGCTTCTTTGCTATACATCCCAGCTTGGAACTGAAGCATCCATAGCAGAGATTTCCCACTGAGAACTACATCTAGAGCACCAACATATCCAAGGCACGACACACTTACCTTTAAAATAAAGGATGCCTGTGGCAGAGAAGGAAGTGAGGGACAGTGAGATAGTATTGTGAGAAGGGCGCTTGCCTTGCACTCAGTTAACCCAGGTTGAATCCCTGGTACCACAAATGGTCCCCTGAACCCTGCCAGGAGTGGCCCTTGAGTGAAAAGCCAGGAATAAGCCCTGAGCATCTGCCAAGTACGGCCCAATTTTTTTTTTAAATTAGGCTAGGGAGATAACCTAGTAGGCAGGGTGCTTGCCTTGCACACAGCCAACATGGGGTTGATCCTCGGCATCCCATATGGTTCCCAGAGCACCGCCAGGAGTGATTCCTGAGTGCAGGGCCAGGAGAACCCCTGAGCATCGCCAGGTGTGGCCTCCAAATGAAACAAACATTAGAAAAAAGAAAATAATCCAAAGAAGTGAGATGAAACAGTGTGTGTGTGGTCACCCTCCACGGAATAATGCACCATAACAAAGGCTGCAACCTCGGCTCCTCTCCCCCTCCTGGGAATAACCACTTGCTCATGGTCAGCTGTGCCATGCTTGGCCACATCTTTAGATTTCATGTCTCTCGCTCTCTCCATATATATAACACTCCTAGCTACTCAACACTATTTTGCGTATGACCCGTGTGTCCTTAGAGCTACTCTGGGGACAGGTCAGGGACACAAGCTTTCATGCACAGGATTCAGGTCCGAGTCCCTCACTGCTCGGGGAGGGCTTGGTGGCCACCAGGACCCCGGGTCCAAGCATCCCTGGTATATGGGGCCCGATCATTGATGTGCCGGACCAAATGGGGAGAGTTTCGAGAAGTGGCCCTTGGGCCCCCTAAGCACTTCTTGGGAGCCCCCCACCTCCACCACACAAGCCAAAAAGCTCCTCCAGGAAGAGCTGAGTTTTGACCAGGGCTGAAAAGTTGCCTTCCTGGGGCAGCTCTTGTGTGTAAAGGAGACACAGGAAGCCAGGACACATAGTTATGTGCATTTTCACTTGATTAAGCTCAAGGGTAGAACTTGTGTCCTCTCCTTCAGCTAATTCTTCCCCAGGGAACACAGTCTGGCCTTAATCTCTGTGCAGACAAGAGGGCCCGGAGCAAGCTCTGCCATCCTTCCTCCCCGATGCCCTCCTCCCTCCCTACCGGCATCCTTCAGCTGGGCCCTGGCCCTCCCTTGCTAGGAGAGAAGCTGCGGGAACTTTCGGGATGAAATGCACAGGCCTGCCTGGCACATTGCAAAATCCCAGTTTCCTGCCTTAAACCTGAATATAACAATGCAAGAGTCGCAGTGATGGTCCAGGGGAATCTGAATTCACTTCCGCACGAGACGCAAGTGGCACGATGCATTTTAGGGGCATGGAATGTTTTTTTTGTCTGGTGTGTGTGTGTGTGTGTGTGTGTGTGTGTGTGTGTGTATTTTGGGGGAGGGGCCTGTTGGGCCACACCCGGAGGTGCTCAGAGATTACTCCTGGCTCTGCACTCAGGAATTAGTCCTGTAGTGCTCAGGGGACCACATGGGATGACGGGGATCGACCCCTGCAAGCTGACTGTATGCTGTCAACTACCGACTGTACTATATTCCCTACCCACTGTACCATAGCTCCAGCCCCTGTTTTTTTTGTTTGTTTGTTTATCTCTTTGAAAAGCACAGCGGGGGAAGGGTCAACCTGGACTGGATTCCTGTCACCCCACGTGGACCCCTGTGCCCACCAGGAGTGGTCTCTGAGTGCAGAGCCAGGAGCAAGCCCTGAGTACAGCCAGGTATGGTTCAAAAGCAAAACAAAAACAACAAATAGATAAAGAAAAATAAAACCAGAAGGTGGAAAATGGAGCCTGGAGTTGGTAATTTCTCTCTCTTGCCCTCTCGCTCCCCCTTAATCACAAAAGAGGTCTGGAGGCAAAACTATCTCACAGCACAAAACGGGCTAAAGAAGCAGAGCCAGAGAACTAGCGATTTACAAGGCCTCACACCACTCAGCTCCAGCAGCCCTCGCCTGATTTCTGTGAGGTAGAAAGGCGGTCTTGGTCATCGGTCTCTGCTGCTCGCAGGCCAATTTACACACCTTCCCCAGAGAGCTTTCTGGAGCAGTCAAAGTCATTTTCTTTCCTTCAAGGATGCTGCATCTAAGGAGTTAGGACAGTTCCCGAGTCCTGAACTCGGAGATAAGGAGCCTCCCTGGGACTTACTTCCCGCAGGGAGTTCTGAAGCTTCGCACTGAGCGCTGCTTTCTCTTCTTCCAGTTGCTTGACTCGATTTTCTGACTTCTTCGTCACCTCCTCCAGCTTGGCTTCCACTTCCTAAACGATGATTAGATGAATTAGCCACTCGAGGCATGAAAACTAGGACAGGACTCACGGACAGACACACTGGGGATAAGTTCGTTCCTAAAGGAACATAAAGACATTGCAGAGAGTTATAAGCACAGCCGGAGAGCAGGAATCAGAAACACACGAGAAGGGGCGAAGACACGGAGGGTGACAACCACACTCTGAGGTCTGGTCAGTGTGGGGTGGGGAGCAGGATAGGTACACAACATCAAACGAGAAAAAGAGAAGACTCATTGGCAAAAGCTTCAGTTTCCAACAAGTCTAAAGCCAACTCCAATGTGGGTATATATTAAAATATGAACCAAGATTCTTCTGTGGTTTTCTCGAAAGCAACCGAAAGCGCCCGGCTCTCTCGGTGGCTGTCCCACCTTAGCTGAAAATAGAGAAGAAATTCGGGTCCAGATAAGAACATTCTGAAGTCCCGTGAGTGAGTGGTAGTCGTCTTTTTTACTTCATTGTTTGTTTGTTTTGGTCCACACCTGGCTATGCTCAAGTCTTATTCCTGACTCTGTGCTCAGGGATTACTCCTGACGGTGTTCAGGGTTTACTCCTGGCTCTGTGCTCAGGGGACCATATGTGGTGCTGGGGATTGAACCTAAGTCAACCACATAAAAGGTAGTTGCCTTATCCACTATACTATCTCTCCAGCCCCAGGTTGTAGACTTTTAATTCGAGCTCTTGAGTTTATTTCCAAATTCATACTGATTTGCTGCTCCTTACATAGTTATCCCAGTTCAGGGTACATAGTAAAAGGGATCAAAAAATTAAGTTAAAACATTAAAACATTATTCTTTTAGATGTCTAATCTTTCCAATTTGGCTTAATTTCAACAGAAATTTTGCAGGTACCTACAGCAGTGAATGAAATATTCTCTTCATCTTAGCTAAAATTTAGGTAAATACTGTCATGTATTTGAATTTGTCCAACAAATATTTACTGAGTGCCTGTCATGAGCTTGATGTTATTTTGGAGGTGAAACAAAAATAGAGATTCAATCCCCAGTCACCGCTGCTCTAATTTGCATAAAAGAGACAGGTTGCAAAGCCGATAGGTCTACTGTGCTATACACCATGCTGGATGGGGACAGCGATTCTGGCCCCTTATGGTGTAACTGAAAGGAGACAGGCATACCAGCTGGCTTTACCGAGTACATTCCATCTGCTGGGAGTTTACGCAGATCATCTCTCGGATCCTAATGAAAACTTGTGAGCTAGGTACACTGGCAGACACCCATTTGACAAAGGAAGAAAACTTAAAGAGGATGAACGACTTGCCAGAAGGTCCAAAAGTGATGAAGTCAAAGATCAGGACTCAGAAAAAGCAGATTTCCTGTCTGTGCTTCTTCCCTGATTCCTAAGAACAAGGCACCCGAGCAAACACCTGACCAATGGACTTCCCATCCTTGCTCCGGCTAAGTGGAAGAAGTCTGTGTGCAGGAAACAGATGCTCCCCAGTGAAGGAAGCCCATTCATTCTCCAAGCCCCAGAGTCTTGCCAAACCCCAGAGTCTTGCCTATTCCTGTAAAAGCCAGGAAAGAAGGCTCATTCCAGCTGACCTATGAGAATGGGTGTGTATTGGGGGGAGGGAGGGATGCTTGTGTCATGGGGGCTGATCAAGGGCCAAATGAAAACTTGGTGTTGAGTAGATGTTCAGTTATGTTCATTGTTCAACCAACCAACCAATCAACGAACATAACTGAACATCTACTCAACACCAAGTATAAGTCATTAGGGAGATGGTCATTGTGTGCTTAATGTTTAAGAATTGGCTTTCTAAAGAAGAGAATTAACTCGCAGCATTTACGGATTTGAACTATTTGAATGCTGCTCCAGTCTTGGTTGGTTTCCAGCTACTGCAGAGATATCACTGAACACAGAGTTGGGAAGAGTCACACAATTGCTCCTCAGAGCTGCTGCAGTGATAATACAGTGGGTAGAGACGCTTGCCTTGCCAATCCAGCCAATCCAGACACTTGCCTTCAGCCAATCCAGGTTCAATTCATCCTAACCACACCATATGGTCCCCTGAGCCCTGCCAGAAATTATTCTTGAGCACAAAGTCAGGAGTCCAACCTGAACACAGGCAGGGCTATGAGGTCCCCCAAAACAAACTAAACAAACCCAACAACTGCCACTCAGGAACCAATATGAATAAGTTCCAACACTCTATTGGATGGTATAGTGAACAAGGAAGTTCAGTGGGGAAAACACACAGTAAATAGGTAATCACAAGGCAGCATTGTAAGAGGTATAGTAAGTGAGGAGGGGGTGGCATTAGCAGACAATAATATCACTAGACCAGACAAGGAAACCTGGTGGGAAGACTCACCTGTCAAAAATAAATAGATGTGGGGAGGGGAATTTGGGTGTGTGGTGGTGGGGGGGAGTGTTCTGGGGGGGAGTGTTCTCCATCAAGGGAAAGTTATGCATTAAATTCAAAACTGAAAAATGCATGGGATGAAGTATGAACTGAAAAGCTGAGGGCAAAGTTAGATGGGGGAGAGGTATGGGATGAAGCAGGAGCTGCAAACAGGACTTGGGTCATGCAGAGAGTATTGTCAACCCTGTATATATTGGAAATACGTGAAGAATACGATATATATATATATATATATACACACACACACACATATATACGTGACTGACGTATTGGATATGCCAGACACAGTAACAACAAAGTCTCCAATGGAGACGTTACTGGGCCCGCTCGAGCAAATATATATATATATATATATATATATATATATATATATATTTACTGAATTTGGCATATTAATTTGTCCTATTTGGCATAGACCACCATCTCCGAATGCAACAGTTATATATACCTAGGTTGAGAAATCAACATGGCACCTGAGTTGCGCAGGAGGAAGAGAGCGGCTTGGAATGCCTTCAAGATCGTTGAAGAAATAACTAAGAGGACAAAGAACCTCCAGCTCTGAGCACATCTCTTCGATTCCACTGTTCTTCCTGCATTGACATATGCCTCAGAGACCTGGGCCTACGCAAATAGGATGAGAATGCTATTCGGGTCTCTCAAAGAGGAATCGAAAGAGCTATGCTTGGAATATCACGATTCACTCAAATGAGAGATAGAATCCGGAGTTCTGATCTCCGTCAACGCTCAAGAATCAGGGACGCTGTCTCATTTGCCAAGACATCAAAAATCAGATGGGCTGGACACGTAATGAGGTTTACAGACAACCGCTGGACTAGAGCCATTACTGATTGGATTCCACGGGACATCAAAACATCGCGTGGCCGCCCATCTACAAGATGGTCAGACTTCTTCGTCAAGACCCTAAATGATTGGTTTGAGGCTCTGCATGTTCCTAGAACGAACAGATACCATTAGGCTACGCTAACACGCATGGAGACGTTACTGGCACCCGCTCGAGTAAATTGATGAATAATGGGGGATCAAGTGATCAAGTGATATATATATGCCTTTGGAGAGTTTGAAGAAGATTAAAAAATTTAATTAGGTGCAACAGGGAAATGGGAGAAAAGAAGACCCTTACATCATCCATCATATGGCCCTTCAAGAAACGGTGATGCAAATGAATCTCAGAACCAAGCAGCTTGCTGCAGAGGTGGTTCTGGACCCCAATTATTTAAAGTTTTAGAATTCCAGAAGTGCGTGACCACATGATATCTCATGCGTTTTTCTATTTTTTGCTTTTTTGTCGAACCACTGAGATAGACCCTTACAGATATCTTATACTATTCATTACAAGCAATACAAAATAAATTAATCTAGTATCTGATTAAATAAAATAAATCTAGTATCTGCCTGTGGGGCAGGCTTGAGTGGTGGTGGGATGTCATAATAGTGGTGGGACTGGTGTTGAAAATGTAATCAATTATTGTGTAATCAATCGTTCAATTATTGTGAACTACTTTATGAAAATAAAATTTTAAAAAAATTTAAAAAAGAAACGGTGATGGCTGGTTGAGCCATCTGCTTCCACGGAAAATAAAGACAATCCAGGGGCCAGAACAATAGCACAGTGGGCTGGGCATTTGCCTTGCATGCGGCTGACCTGGATTCAATTCCTGGCACCTCATATGGTTCCCCAAGCCTGCCAGAAGTGATCCCTGAATGCAGAACCAGGAGTAAGCCCTAAGAACTTCTGGGTGTAAAAAAAAAAATATATATATATATATAAGTTTATTTCTAAATAAATATAAATTTAGGCCTTTGAAGAAGCAAAATACATGGACTTGATATTTGAGTGAATATTAAGGGAAGAGGCTCTGAGCGTGTTTGCTTGGGCATCCAAAAAGATAGTATTGGGCCGAGAGAGTGCAGTGGTTAAGGCACTTGTCTTGCAGGTGTCTGGCACACTGGTAACCGAGGTTTGATCCCCAGCACCCTCAACGGTTTTCCTGAGCACAGAACCAGGAGTAGTGGATCAATCGTAAGGATCACAAGACACTTAGCACAAGAAGAGTCTCTTTCTTCATTAAATCTATGATGCCTTTTTGTGGGGTTTGTTGTTTTGGAGAATTTGCTTTTGAAGACAATGTACAAATTATCCTTGTGTTCCAAGTCAGTAGAGCAAATTCAAGGAACCATTAGAAACACAGACATTCCCTCAGCAAAAATTCTGATTTTTTCACTTCATTAATTAGCTTTCCATTCACAGAAACTTTTATTCAACCAAGGCTTTGTTTAACTTGCTTACTAGTGCAGACATACTATTTTACCAAGGCAGATTCACTGGAACAGCATGGTAAAGACCACCGAGAGAAAGATATCTAGCCTAAATCAAAGGCTAGTTCTAATTTTAAAGAGCCAAACCTAGCAGAGTGCAGATAATCAATCATAGCTCCAGTTGCTGCCTTGACAAATGAATCTAGTGGGGAAGAAATTTCCACAGAAATGGAAAAAACTGATTTCAGCAATAATTTTTTGGCAATTTTAAGCTATTTTAGGTATACAATAATGTGGTTTACTGTCAGAAAGCA